GTGTGTGTGTGTGTGTGTGTGTGTGTGTGTGTGTGTGTGTGTGTGTGTGTACAGAGAGGGAGAGAAATTTATAACTGACAGAAACTTTGATCTGGGATCATACTGGATAGTCTCAACAACAAAAGGCAGGATACCAGCAAGCCCCACTGCACTGAAGGAAGACAGAATTTTGTCATAATTTGCCCAGAAACTGTGAATTAGGTAATGAAATAACCTGTGGTTTGTACAAAGAACAGTTGCACATTGTATAATTTTGTTTTGCTATTCTTCTTAATGTTTGTTTAAAACATGTTTAATGATATGTTTGCTTTTGATAGTAGAGAAAGCTGAACTGAACATCTACTCTTGGATCAATTATAGTATCAGAAGGTGTTTGTGTTTGCTACATACTTACAGATTGCAAAAGGGAGAACTTATTGAATACATTAAGAAAACAGTGGATTATACTCCAATTGTTAGTGTTAATATTATATCTTTTGGTTATCCTTTGTTGCTTTGTGTTTCTTTGTGTTCCCATTTCCTCCTGCTTTCTCTGTTTTGCCTGCGTTTCTCATGTTTCTGTATTAGTCATCTTTTGGTTACTTCCTCTTTTACTTTGACAGGTATATGTCTGACATGTTTTGTTATGACTCCTTTTTGACCATATAGTCTTCCCTAAAAAACATTAAAAATGCAGAGAGGTGTATGAACACACAGAGAGTGAAAACGATGATTAAAGAAGAAACAGTGCATTCTCCGGCAGCCTTGTGCTATTGCAGCATAACTAAGGGACGGCTGCTAACTAAGTATTTTGTGATCTGAATTCATATTGAATTAACAGCTTTTAGCTAACATCTGGTTTGGATAATGCTGGAGAGGGCAATGAGAATTCATATTTTGTAGGAATCAATCACACGGTTAACAATTTTAGTTACAACAATGTAGAGTAAAGCAAAAACAAAGACACAAAAAAGTCTGTAAAAGTATATTTCTGTACATTAATGTAATTTAACCACAACAATTATTTATTTTGTAAGCACTTAAAAAATCCACCCTCCAAAGTAGTTCACAAAAGCAGCAAAGTCAAACTACTCTGTCTGCCACTTTGGAAATCACACTGAGAAATAGAAGGGTCGGGGGTTAGGGTTGAAATTTAATCTATTGTAAAGCATTGATGTCCATTATGTAGTCATACATTGTAGTTAACATTACAGTTACAACTACACAGACAGACCTTTAAGAAAGAACTGTTTAATTATGTCTTGTAGTGTTTAAAGAAGACACTGTAACACGTTTCTTGTTTAGAGAGAATTATAGATATGAGTCAGACCCTACTCACCACCTGCGTCACCCCCGGATACATGCTGTGATAAAGCTTCAGTGAAAATAATTCTTCAACTATATACAAACCCAAGATATCAAATATCTGCAGATGAATGTTCAATGTTCAATACAACAACCATTTGCACACTTTTTTTTAGCCACCATGGGCCAAACGTAAACACGATTTAAGGTCCTTTTTTAAATCTTTATCTATGTTCTGGCTGAGTGTGGTCTGCAAATAAAGACAGCACAAATTAGAAAACAGAGAAGTACTACACAACATTAATATGCCCCTTGACTTTGGTACTTTGTATGTATCACTAGAGGGCATCAAAGCACCTTAGAAAGTGAATCTTCAGCCCTCTTCAACTTCAACCCTTAATCCAAAGACATTCTAAACTTTATCTACACTTTAT